TATCTATGAGGAGCAGCAACTCAATGTTTAGGCCCCCTGATCTGAGCACTGGAGGAACTGGGATTGACCCAAGGTGAGACATAAACACAGTTTAATTAACATGAGACTGAATGACCACAACGGTATTTCATTTCACTGTTTAATGCTACCAGGTGTTGGAGCTGATACATCCTGTGTATTACTGTGTACTACCAATTTACTGTGATGTTAAGAGCAAACATTGTGGCGGTAAAACGTTTGTTGATTCATAAACGAGGATTACTGGCGAGTTCCACTGCTTGTGCGAGGAGCAGCTGCATATTTCTGTAATTTATATGTGACAGTACTGATTCATAACAGGACATAATCCCACAAAACATAACGTCCACCACTTTGGCAGTCATTTTCCTGGTAAGAAGCCAATGTGCATTAATTTAAATCGCACATGCACGCTTTCATCTGGTTACTAGTATATTTAAAAGACATGCTTTGATCTGTTTAAACGGAGCATCATGGTAAACATAACTGCTGTTGTAAGACTACAGATGAGAAAAAGTCCTGCTTGAGCAGACTTTAAATTGCCAGATTAAACTAGCACTATCCCTAAAAAAGCCTTTTCCTTCTGTGACAATTTGATGTTTCACAAATCCCCCTCCTGTGCATGGAAAGTAGATTTAGCTTGGAATCCAATTGAGTGAAGAGTAATTTGACATGTTGAGATTCTAATTACATCTAATTATGTTCAAATTAATTTTATTCCAAGCAGTTTGACCTTTTAATATTATATCTCAATGTACAATAGACTTGAACTGTTTACATAGATATGCAAATTATATGTTACTTGTAAAAGTTTATTTCTCACAGGTAAAAACTAAATCTTTATTAGCCAGTATGAAGTACTAAACTTTATGTGCAGATTAAATTCCTGATATGTAGAACTAAATATATTTTATTTGATATTTATTTTCCATGTTTGTAAATTGAATTTATGACATCACGAATAAAGGAAATAAAAGCAAAAACTACCTGTCACAGTAATGAGTTTAATAATCAGTGTAATTTTTAATTGCAATTGAAAATATACCAAACGTTAAACTTTATGTTAGTTCAATTATAATGAAATGGAAAAGTTCTGAATTATTATTATTATTATTATTATTATTTATTAACTGAGAAATCATACATGCTAAAATATAACTGCTACAGATCTAAGTCCAATTTAAAGATGTTATAATTTACTATAATGTTACCATAACCAGACTGCAGATATCCAGAGCAGAATCTCCAGAGCCCAGCTGTGTGTCTATGAAGAGCAACAACTCCATGTTTAGGCCTCCTGATCTGAGTACTGGAGGAACTGGGATTGACCCAAGGTGAGACACGATCACAGCATAAACACCTTCAGGCTGAGTACAATCAGCTGTATTTCGTTCCATTATTTGATGCTCCCGGGTGTCGGAAATAATACATTCTGTGTCATGAACGCGAGAAGTGGCACAGTGTGTGTGTGTGTGTGTGTGTGTGTGTGTGTGTGTGTGTATGTGTGTGGGTGTGTATGTGTGTGTGTGTCTGTGTGTGTGTGTGTGTGTGTGTGTCTGTGTGTGTGTGTGTGTGTGTGTGTGTGTGTGTGTGTGTGTCTGTGTGTGTGTGTGTGTGTGTTTGTTAGCAAAACATTCCACATTACTTACTGTTTCTTTCTGATTTATAAATCATTTTTTTCCCTTTTCAAACCTTCAACCTCAGTCTTGAATAATGTTTTATGAAACTCAAAGGATGTTTTTACAGAAGAATCAGAGAAAAACCTGGGAAGAATGTGTAAGAGAAAGAAATCAATTTGAATGAGTGATGATTCAGTGGAGAAGAGAAGCCAAAAACAAAAAGCATGCAGATCTTGTTGTGGTTATGTTGATCATAACAGATGAAACAAAAATCAGTTTTTTTGTTTTATGTCAACAAATCGGAAAAACATCTCAATGGCCGGCCGATTGGAAGAGTTCAGTTTATGTGCTAATAACAAAGAAATGAAAAAAGAAAGAGTGTACAAACTGTTGCACAGTGTCCCTAATATCAATCACATGCCAGTGAAATTATGCTTAAGATTATTTAGTGGAGACTGGAACCTTACAGTGAATGAGAACTGCTAAGCCATGTGTGAGCAGGAAAAGCAGAGGAACAAGAGACATTACTGTGGACGTACACTGGATCATTGAAAAAGCCAAAGAATCCAACAGGAAGTTAACATGATTGACTACAGCAAAGCCTTCCGTTGTGTTGACCACATTTACTTATGCAGTGTCCTCAGGAAAAAGGGAACACCAGAGCATTTCACTGTTCTAATGGTATCTCTACACTAATCAACAAGCCATGGTCAGGACAAGAAATGGACAGACTGATTTCACATTGGCAAAGGAGGAGACAAGGCTGCATAATGCTCATTTGGTACAAATAATACCTAAGATGAACGTTTGTCGTGACAAACCACAGGACAGAATGACGTTGACTGTATTTCTGTTCACTGTTTAATGTGTTCAGGTGTAGAAAATAGTGCATTCTGTGTATCATGAACACCTGAGAGGTGAGACAGTGTGTGTGCAGTGTTTCCCACAGGTTTGAAACATACTGATTTTCTGGGGTGGTGGGTTGTGTTGAGTTTGTTGAGCCTTTTTGCTTCGGTAGGTCACACTATAGCTAACCTAAACGCTCTGCAGGAGAACTGAAGTGAACTGAAGCAGGATCGTGAAACAGTGACCACCTGCAAAAGGGTTAAACACACGTGGAAAACAGAGACGTGGGCCAGACGAGAGTAATAGCTGCTTCTCAGTATGCGTTCTTGTGTACTTGCCTGCCGTCATCTTCCACTGCGACTTTTACCAAGAACGGTTAAAGTACCCGGAGGAGTTCTTGCTCCTCCTTGAAAACCAAGGATGTACCTGTTAACTTGTTGACGAGAATGAACAGAAAGACCCAGCATTCAGTGCGGCGTCATCGCACCTGGCAGAGGATCCAGATAGTGGCCCACAGCTGAACGTCCATAAGGTCGCTTTTTTAAGTAATCAGTTAAATCTAGTTTAAAAAGGAGAGAAACAGAGATTAAAGCTGCCGAATCTTTGCTCATTTGGTACAAATAAAACCTAAGATGAACGTTTGTCGTGACAATTCATGAGAACAAGGCTCCGTTTAGGTTAACAGTACCGTTAATACCAAACTGTGGAGGTCTTAGCCAGGTCAGCAGTGGCCAGTCTGAAAGGTGTGTTTACCGTTACAGTGTACAACACTTCACACCATCCAACGTCAAATCATTTTACAACTCCATCTGTGATTACTGACTTTTCGAGGCAGGAGCTGAATGATCCAGTGATGTTAGTGTCTGAGACACACATTGAGGATGGACACGAGAAGGTTGACTTTGGAGAAAAACTGAAGAGGAGTTTATATACAGACAAAAATGTTGTGTAGTTTAAGACAAAACCATGTTTTTATGTGATTCACAGATACTAAACTGTTCTTTCAGCTAAACTGAGCAGAGGATCAGACTTGGTTGCTGAAACACGTAGAGACAAAGACTGAGATGGTTAGAAGGCCAAAATGGATTTATGTGAGCTGGTCTCAAACACTGTAAACTGAATGTAAAATATGAACATGTGTAGTTATTGTTAACAGTCATAGCTGTGCGGTCGGACTGAATTCAGAGTGTGTTACTGTTTATGTGGGATCTGTAAACATCAGGGGTGGGAATCTTCAGGCACCTCACGTTTTGATTCGATTACGATTCAGAGGCTGTGATGCGATTATAAAACGATTATCGATGCATCTTTTTTTCTCTATACAGCATTTCTATTTTCCTACTCTCTGAGGACTTGGTAGTTTTAAAGCTAAGTATTTGTAATGACCCATAATGCATTTACGTCCAATATCTTTTATTAATAAATCAAATGGAAGTGATGTGGAAGTGAACTAGAAGGCTCTCATTCACTGCGCTTGTTTGGAGATGCTGCTGCCACTCATCTGCGATAAAATGCGCAGTTACGGTGAAATAAGATCCAGTGGTAATAGATGTCCACGCATCACATTATTGCCGTCCTGCCTGTTTTCTTTAGTGATTTTATAACTTCAGTTTTGGTCTCGTGGTAGGGGGGGGGTTGCTGTGTCAGTAAAATATCCTCGAGACTGGATGCTGAATCTCGGCCCCAAAGTGAGCAACATAGCGCGAAAGCCCTGGTTCTCAATAACTGAGAACTGGCGTGCAGACTGCAGGTCACCTAGCAACGAAGTCTCGCCGAGCCAGTAGCGAACGAAGAAGGAAAAGCTTCAGCCTCGTAAATCAGTCGAATGCTGAGAGACATTCTACAAGAAACTATTCAACTTTTGAGGAAAAGTCTCCTGGCGGAGATGGAAGAAAACGACTAAAGCTAAAGCTTAAAGCAGAGCAGAGTAAATCTGCGTTCTCGTTTATATTGTTTAGCCTATACTAGGACATCAGCACACACTGAGACATAGAGACAAACTGAACATTAAATGTTGAGGCTCCCAAGCTGGTTTGATGTTTGTTGAAAGGTCAAAATGGCTCTTCTTATCATCTGTGTTGTGACTCCTGATCTAACCTGGCTTTAATGCAGAGGGAGCTGATCGGATTTCTTGCTCATCCAGTGGTGTCTTTGTTATGTGCCGCCACAGACTGTCCAGGCGCTGCACTTGCCCACTTCCAAGTTCCGCCCTTTGCGTTCCGTCAACATTATGTTATAAATTAAATAATTAGAAAATCGATTTTTTACATTTGTGAATCGATTCAGAATCGTTCACGTCCGCAACGTGATGCATCTAAGAATCGAATTTTTCCCGCACCCCTAGTTAACATGGTGTTGATAAAAAAGCACTAAACCTGTAAAAGGCATGTTCATGTGCAGCTGTTTGACCAGCAGAGGGAGCAAACAGACCTGAAGACAACATGCTGCTTTAGAGCTGTGACTGCACTGAGATATTAAAAATGGAGATTTTCAGTTACTGGACAGGATTGTTTTACTGTAACTTACTGTGTCAGTGGATGTATCACATAGTGGATGTATCACTACACGTATCACTACTGCTCCAGTCAGGATTTACCCGTGTTCTAAAAGGTGAAGAACAGGAAAGTCTGCAGGACATGTGTGGAAAAAACATCCTTAATTTAATATATTTTCGCAATATGTTCTTATCAGACATTGGGAATCCAGAGCAGACTATCCAGAGCCCAGCTGTGTGTCTATGAGGAGCAGCAACTCCATGTTTAATCCTCCTGATTTCAGTACTGGAGGAGCTGTTATTCACCCAATGTGAGACACAGTTTAACCACCACAGGACAGAGTAACGTTGATTGTGGTTCTTTTCACTGTTTAATGTGTTCAGGTGTAGAAAATAGTGCATTCTGTGTATCATTAACACCTGAGAGGTGAGACAGTGTGTGTGCAGTGTTTCCCACAGGTTTGAAACATACTGATTTTCTGGGGTGGTTATATGTGCTGTTATTTGTCATTGTACTTTTGATCTGAAGTCTCCAGATTTTTATTCAAGTTTGTCTAATTCTGATTTAATGTCAACTCAGCTCAGAGGTCTGCAGGACACGTGGAGAAAACATCCTTAATTTAATATATTGTCGCAATATGTTCATATCAGGCTTCCGATGTTCGGAGCAGAGTTTCCAGAGCCCAGCTGTGTGTCTATGAAGAGCAGTGACTCCATGTTTAATCCTCCTGATCTCAGAGCTGGAGGAGTTGTTATTCACCCAAGGTGAGACACAGTCACAGTTTAACCACCATAAGACAGAATGATGTTAACTGTATGTCGTTTCACTGTTTAACGCCAGTAGGTGTAGAAAATAGTGCGTTGGTCTGAAACTGGAACTGATAAAAAAGCACTAAACCTGTAAAAAGTGTGTTGATGTACAGTAGCGCTGTTTGACCAGCAGAGGGAGCAAACAGACCTGAAGACAACATGCTGCTTTAGAGCTGTGTCTGCACTGGGATATTAAAAATGGAGATTTTCAGTTACTGGACAGGATTGTTTTACTGTAACTTACTCTGTCAGTGGATGTATCATATAGTGTATCACTATACGTATCACTACTGCTCCAGTCAGGATTTGTACGTTTTGTAAAAGTTAATGTGAAAAACAGGAAAGTCTCTCAGATCTCTGCACACATTTTCCCAAGTTGTCACAAGTCCCCTCTTTAGTGTCCCACAAAATGTTCCTAGAATGGTTCTCTACAGATCTGACCAATGTGTTTTTCTTATTCAAGGCCGCCAGGACCACATTGGCGAGCGGGCTTTTGCCCCCCCACTTTTCAGAGTGCTAGAGGAGCTGTTATTCACCCAAGGTGAGACACAGTTTAACCACCACAGGACAGAGTAACGTTGATTGTGGTTCTTTTCACTGTTTAATGTGTTCAGGTGTAGAAAATAGTGCATTCTGTGTATCATGACCACCTGAGAGGTGAGACAGTGTGTGTGCAGTGTTTCCCACAGGTTTGAAACATACTGATTTTCTGGGGTGGTGGGTTGTGTTGGGTTTGTTGAGCCTTTTTGCTTCGGTAGGTCACACTATAGCTAACCTAAACACTCTGCAGGAGAACTGAAGTGAACTGAAGTGCTTAATGACTGACTGAGGAAACCATGATCACCTGCAAAAGGGTTAAACACACGTGGAAAACAAAGACGTGGGCCAGACGAGAGTAATAGCTGTTTCTCAGTATGTGTTCTTGTGTACTTGCCTGCCGTCATCTTCCACTGCGATTTTTACCAAGAACGGTTAAAGTACCCGGAGGAGTTCTTGCTCCTCCTTGAAAACCGAGGATGTACTTGTTAACTTCTTGATGATTATGAACAGTAACACCCAGCATTCAGTGTGGCGTCATCGCACCTGGCAGAGGATCCAGATAGTGGACCACAGCTGAACGTTTATAAGGTCGCTTTTTAAGTAATCAGTTAAATCTAGTTTAAAAAGGAGAGAAACAGAGATTAAAGCTGCCGAATCTTTGCTCATTTGGTACAAATAATACATAAGATGAACGTTTGTCGTGACAATTCATGAGAACAAGGCTCCGTTTAGGTTAACAGTACCGTTAATACCAAACTGTGGAGGTCTTAGCCAGGTCAGCAGTGGCCAGTCTGAAAGGTGTATTTACCGTTACAGTGTACAACACTTCACACCATCCAACGTCAAATCATTTTACAGCTCCATCTGTGATTACTGACTTTTCGAGGCAGGAGCTGAATGATCCAGTGATGTTAGTGTCTGAGACACACACTGAGGATGGACACGAGGAGGATGACTTTGGAGAAACACTGAAGAGGAGTTTATATACAGACAAAAATGTTGTGTAGTTTAAGACAAAACCATGTTTTTATGTGATTCACAGATACTAAACTGTTCTTTCAGCTAAACTGAGCAGAAGATCAGACTTGGTTGCTGAAACACGTAGAGACAAAGACTGAGATGGTTAGAAGGCCAAAATGGATTTATGTGAGCTGGTCTTAAACACTGTAAACTGAATGTAAAATATGAACATGTGTAGTTATTTTAACAGTCATAGCTGTGCGGTCGGACTGAATTCAGAGCGTTACTGTTTATGTGGGATCTGTAAACATGGTGTTGATAAAAAAGCACAAACCTGTAAAAGGCATGTTGATGTGCAGCTGTTTGACCAGCAGAGGGAGCAAACAGACCTGAAGACAACATGCTGCTTTAGAGCTGTGACTGGACTGGGATATTAAAAATGGAGATTTTCAGTTACTGGACAGGATTGTTTTACTGTAACTTACTGTGTCAGTGAATGTATCATATAGTGTATGTATCACTATATGTATCACTACTGCTCCAGTTAAGATTTGCACGTTTTATAAAAGGTGAAGAACAGGAAAGTCTGCAGGACACATGTGGAAAAAACATCCTTAATTTAATATTTTGTCACAATATGTTCCTATCAGACATTGGCAATCCAGAGCAGACTATCCAGAGCCCAGCTGTGTGTCTATGAGGAGCAGCAACTCCATGTTTAATCCTCCTGATCTCAGTGCTGGAGGAGTTGTTATTCACCCAAGGTGAGACACAGTCACAGTTTAACCACCATAAGACAGAATGATGTTGACTGTATGTCATTTCACTGTTTAACGCCAGTAGGTGTAGAAAATAGTGCGTTGGTCTGAAACTGGAACTGATAAAAAAGCACTAAACCTGTAAAAAGTGTGTTGATGTACAGTAGCGCTGTTTGACCAGCAGAGGGAGCAAACCGAGCTCAAGACAACATACTGCTTTAGAGCTGTGTCTGCACTGGGATGTTAAAAATGAAGATTTTCAGTTACTGGACAGGATTGTTTTACTGTAACTTACTCTGTCAATGGATGTATCATATAGTGTATCACTACACGTATCACTACTGCTCCAGTCAGGATTTGCACATTTGTAAAAGTTATAGTTGAAAGGCTACGTGTGGAAAAAACATCCTTAATTTAATGTATTGTCACAATATGTTCCTATCAGACATTGGCAATCCAGAGCAGACTATCCAGAGCCCAGCTGTGTGTCTATGAGGAGCAGCAACTCCATGTTTAATCCTCCTGATCTCAGAGCTGGAGGAGCTGTTATTCACCCAAGGTGAGACACAGTCACAGTTTTACCACCATAAGACAGTAATGTGTCGACTGGATTTTATTTTCCTGGTTAATAGTACCAAGTTGCTCCAGTAGGTCACACTATAGCCAACCAGCCTTTTTTTAAAGGCTCTGCAGGAGAACTGAAGTGAACTGAAGTGCTTAACGTCATACAGAAGAAACAAAGATCTCCTGCAAAAGGGTTAAACACACGTGGAAAACAAAGACGTGGGCCAGACGAGAGTAATAGCTGTTTCTCAGTATGCGTTCTTGTGTACTTGCCTGCCGTCATCTTCACACCATCCAACACACCATCCAACGTCAAATCATTTTACAGCTCCATCTGTGATTACTGACTTTTCGAGGCAGGACCTGAATGATCCAGTGATGTTAGCGTCTGAGACACACACTGAGGATGGACACGAGGAGGTTGACTTTGGAGAAACACTGAAGAGGAGTTTATATACAGACAAAAATGTTGTGTAGTTTAAGACAAAACCATGTTTTTATGTGATTCACAGATACTAAACTGTTCTTTCAGCTAAACTGAGCAGAAGATCAGACTTGGTTGCTGAAACACGTAGAGACAAAGACTGAGATGGTTAGAAGGCCAAAATGGATTTATGTGAGCTGGTCTAAAACACTGTAAACTGAATGTAAAATATGAACATGTGTAGTTATTGTTAACAGTCATAGCTGTGCGGTCGGACTGAATTCAGAGCGTTACTGTTTATGTGGGATCTGTAAACATGGTGTTGATAAAAAAGCACAAACCTGTAAAAGGCATGTTGATGTGCAGCTGTTTGACCAGCAGAGGGAGCAAACAGACCTGAAGACAACATGCTGCTTTAGAGCTGTGACTGGACTGGGATATTAAAAATGGAGATTTTCAGTTACTGGACAGGATTGTTTTACTGTAACTTACTGTGTCAGTGAATGTATCATATAGTGTATGTATCACTATATGTATCACTACTGCTCCAGTCAGGATTTACCCGTGTTCTAAAAGGTGAAGAACAGGAAAGTCTGCAGGACACATGTGGAAAAAACATCCTTAATTTAATATTTTGTCACAATATGTTCCTATCAGACATTGGCAATCCAGAGCAGACTATCCAGAGCCCAGCTGTGTGTCTATGAGGAGCAGCAACTCCATGTTTAATCCTCCTGATCTCAGTGCTGGAGGAGTTGTTATTCACCCAAGGTGAGACACAGTCACAGTTTAACCACCATAAGACAGAATGATGTTGACTGTATGTCATTTCACTGTTTAACGCCAGTAGGTGTAGAAAATAGTGCGTTGGTCTGAAACTGGAACTGATAAAAAAGCACTAAACCTGTAAAAAGTGTGTTGATGTACAGTAGCGCTGTTTGACCAGCAGAGGGAGCAAACCGAGCTCAAGACAACATACTGCTTTAGAGCTGTGTCTGCACTGGGATGTTAAAAATGAAGATTTTCAGTTACTGGACAGGATTGTTTTACTGTAACTTACTCTGTCAATGGATGTATCATATAGTGTATCACTACACGTATCACTACTGCTCCAGTCAGGATTTGCACATTTGTAAAAGTTATAGTTGAAAGGCTACGTGTGGAAAAAACATCCTTAATTTAATGTATTGTCACAATATGTTCCTATCAGACATTGGCAATCCAGAGCAGACTATCCAGAGCCCAGCTATGCGTCTATGAGGAGCAGCAACTCCATGTTTAATCCTCCTGATCTCAGAGCTGGAGGAGCTGTTATTCACCCAAGGTGAGACACAGTTATTACCACCATAAGACAGTAATGTGTCGACTGCATTTTATTTTACATGTTAATAGTACCAGGTTGCTCCAGTAGGTCACACTATAGCCAACCAGCCTTTTTTTAAAGGCTCTGCAGGAGAACTGAAGTGAACTGAAGTGCTTAACGTCATACAGAAGAAACAAAGATCTCCTGCAAAAGGGTTAAACACACGTGGAAAACAAAGACGTGGGCCAGACGAGAGTAATAGCTGTTTCTCAGTATGTGTTCTTGTGTACTTGCCTGCCGTCATCTTCACACCATCCAACACACCATCCAACGTCAAATCATTTTACAGCTCCATCTGTTATTACTGACTTTTCGAGGCAGGAGCTGAATGATCCAGTGATGTTAGCGTCTGAGACACACATTGAGGATGGACACAAGGAGGTTGACTTTGGAGAAACGCTAAAGAGGAGTTTATATACAGTGGTGTGAAAAAGTGTTTGTCCCCTTCCTGATTTCTTATTCTTTTAAATGTTTGTCACACTTAAATGTTTCAGATCACCAAACAAATTTAAATATTAGACAAAGATAACACAAGTAAACACAAAATGCAGTTTATAAGTGAAGATCTTTATTATTAAGGGAAAAAGAAATCCAAACCTACAGGGCCCTGTGTGAAAAAGTGATTGCCCACCCCACCCCGTTAAAACATGGAACAGTGGTGAACCTTCCCAGGAGTGGCTGGCCGACCAAAATTACCCCAAGAGCGCAGCGACAACTCATCCAAGAGGTCACAAAAGACCCCACAACAACATCCAAAGACCTGCAGGCCTCACTTGCCTCAGTTAAGGTCAGTGTTCATGACTCCACCCTAAGAAAGAGACTGGGCAAAAATGACCTGCATGGCAGATTTCCAAGACGAAAACCACTGCTGAGCAAAAAGAACATAAAGGCTCTTCTCAGTTTTGCCAGAAAACATCTTGATGAAGACTTTTGGGAGAATACTCTGTGGACTGACGAGACAAAAGTTGAACTTTTTGGAAGGTGTATCTGGCGTAGGAGTAACACAGCATTTCAGAAAAGGAACATCATACCAACAGTGAAATATGGTGGTGGTAGTGTGATGGTCTGGGGCTGTTTTGCTGCTTCAGGACCCGGAAGACTTGCTGTGGTAAATGAAACCATGGATTCTGCTGTCTACCAAAAAATCCTGAAGGAGAATGTGCGGCCATCTGTTTGTGACTTGGGTTCTGCAGCAGGACAATAATCCAAAACACACCAGCAAGTCCACCTCCGAATGGCTTAAGAAAAACAAAATTAAGACTTTGGAGTGGCCTAGTCAAAGTCCTGACCTGAATCCAATTGAGATGCTGTGGCATGAACTTAAAAGGCAGTTCATGCTCGGAAACCCTCCAATGTGGCTGAATTACAGCAATTCTGCAAAGACGAGTGGGCCAAAAATTCCTCCACAGTGCTGTGTCTAATATTTAAATTTGTTTGGTGATCTGAAACATTTAAATGTGACAAACATGCGAAAGAATAAGAAACCAGGAAGGGGGCAAACACTTTTTCACACCACTGTATAGACAAAAAATATCACGTAATTTAAAATGAACCACGTTTTTATGTGATTCACAGAGACTAAACTGTTCTTTCAGCTAAACTGAGTGGAGGATCAGTTACTGAAAGTAACCAAGTAACTATCAGTTACTTGGTTACTGAAACACGTAGAGACAAAGACTGAGATGGTTAGAGGGCCAAAATGGATTTATGGTCTAAAATACTGTAAACTGAATGTAAAATATGAACATGTGTAGTTATTTTGAACAGTCATAGCTGTGCGGTCGGACTGAATTCTGAGCGTCTCTGTTTATGTGGGCTCTGTAAACATGGTGTTGATAAAAAAGCACTAGCATTAGGTAGTGAGTGGCTCTGAAATAAGCTTTTGTGAACAAGCAAAGTTTCAGTTTAAGATTTATTTTAGTTTGAGTTTAATAAAAACTTGCTTTAAACTCAGATTCACAAATGAGTTTTCCTTTACTAAAATACATCTGTATTTCTCTGTTCATAAACATAAACTAGCAAAAACAAATTTAATATAAATTTTATCATTTATGTTGAATAAACACTCCCAAACTGCTGCTGCACTGACATTGAACCATATGCTTGCACTGGGTCGGTATGTCCAACAGGTCAAAACAAGCTCAAAACAAAGTGTGCTGTGCCCTGATTGGTGTTCTTGCTTCGCGCTTCTTTTGTTTTGACATGTTACGTTTTCATACACACATAAACCAAACCAAACGACAGATTTCTCATAATGTAGTGGAGTAAAAAGTGAGATATTTAACTTTGAAATGTAGTGGAGTGAAAGTAAAAAGTCGCCCAAAATGGAAAACTTCAGGAAAGTACAGATACACAAAAAACTACTTAAGTACAGTAATGAATTACATTTACTTAGTTACTGTCCACCACTGATTATTACACACTATTCATCATACCTGGCAGAGGATAGTAGAAATTACACCTGCCAAATTATTGCTCATTTGGTGAAAATAATACCTAATATGAAAGTTTGTCGTGACAGTTTGTAAGAACAAGGTGCTTCATAGGAACTGTGTATCTGAATACTGTTCCTGTTTATTATACTGAATAATAATATTTAGTAATATTCTCTTTAATATCCAATCCTAATTGCCTATTTAAATAAATTATATGTACAGTTTTACACTATTTTCATGTCAGAGGTTTAATATTGTTTTTTCAGGTGTTGTTTCATGCTGTAGGTAACTGATAATAAACTCATTAGCCTAAGAATAAATGTTTAAATGTTGAATGTTTTATCACCCTATGCATCTGCAGCAGCTCCAGCATCTCCAGAGGCCAGCTGTGTGTGAAGAGCAGCAACTTCCAGATGGACCATTCAAAGTCCAAGAGTAAAAGAAGACGCCGTATCAGAAAGTAAGTAACAACATCAGCATTTAACATAGAAAGAAAAAAGCTAGATTAAACATGAGAATTGTTTCAAACTTTCAAACAAAATTGTATTTAATACAAAGATGCATGTAGGATAAAAGTTATCCAGTTGGCCCTGTGTGAAAAACTAAATGCCCTCCTTAATAAACCAAAAGTAGTTCAATTAGTTCAATTAAGATCAATAAAACTAGACAAACTTGCTTAATTACTGGCTGTTTTACAATGACTGCATTAGAATAGTAAAAATAAAGTTTGCTTAACTGGATTATTTTACTGTAGCTTACTTTGTCAATTGTTTATATCGTATATTGTTTTATATAGTATATGTATCACTATACATACATACATATCACTACCACACCAATCATGTTAAGAACACCTTTTATAAAAGTTGTAGGTGAAAAACATGAAAGACTCTCAGATCTCTGCACACATTCTTCCAAGTCCTCACAAGTCCTCTTTTTAGTGTCCCACATAACGTTCCTAGAATTTCTCTACAGATCTGACAAATGTGTATTTGTGGATTTTTATAGTACACTGTAATTTATTGACGCAGTACACCTTGCTTTTTATTGTGATATGTGCTGTTATTTGTCATTGTACTTTTCATTTGAAATCTCCATTTCTGTATTCCAGTTTGTCTAGTTCTCATTCTATGCCAACTCACCACAGATTTCTCCAAGAAGCAAGTGGAAGAACATCCTTAATTTAAAATGTTGCCTCAATATCTTGTTATCAGGCTCCAGAAATCCAAAACAGATTCTCCAGAGTCCAACAGTGTGTCTATAAAGAGCAGCAATGGTTTAAGTACTCGGAGGTGTGCTTGCTCCGCTCCGAAAACTGAGTATGCATCTGTTGGTGATTTGTGATGGCCAAACTAAAAACTATATTTTTACCATTGCAACACTTCACACCAGCCATCAAAGTGAAATCATTTTACAACTCCATCTGTTATTACCAAATAGATGAGGCACTTGAAGTATAGAGTTATGTTGGCATCTGAGACACACATTGAGGACTAAGATGTGGAGGTTGACTGGAGAAAAAAGTGAGGAGGAGTTATATATAGAAAAAAAAATGTCTGCATGTAGATTAAAACAAAAACATGTTTTTATATGATTCACAGACACTAAACTGTTCTTTCAGCTAAACTGAGCAGAGGATCAGACTTGGTTACTGAAACACGTAGAGACAAAAACTGAGATGGTTAGAGGGCCAAAAATGTATTTATGGTCTAAAATACAGTAAACTGAATGTAAAATATGAACTTGTGTAGTTATTTTGAACAGTCATAGCTGTGCGGTTGGACTAAATTCAGTGTTTCTGTTTATGTGGGATCTGTAAACATGGTGTTGATAAAAAAGCACTAAACCGGTAAAAGGCATGTTGATGTGCAGCTGTTTGACCAGCAGAGGGAGCAAACAGACCTCAAGACCTTGTGCTGCTTTAGAGCTGTGTTTGTGAATCCTGCTCCTGTTTATTGTACTGAACAAAAATGTTTCGTAATATTATCTTTTAATATGCAATCCTAATTGCCTGTTTGAATGATGAATGAATGTTTAACCACTCTATGCATATGCAGCAGATCCAGAGTCCAGCCGTGTGTGGAGAGCAGCAACGTTGTGATGGACAGTTCTAACTCATGGTGTAGAAGACCCTCCAAAAAAAAGTGAGTAATGACATCAGCATTTAACATGAAGAAAAAAGCAAGAGGAAACACAAGAAGGGTTTCAGATTTTCAAACAAAATTTTCATTAATTGAAGGATAGATTTATCTAGTAACCGTTGTCCCTGTGTGAAAAACTATGTGCCCTCCTTACTAACCAAATGTAGCTCAATCAGTTCAATCAGGATCAATTAAACTAGACAAACAGGCTTAATTACTGTCAGCCCTGCTGAATCTAAACATCACGTAAACAGAACCTTTCCAGCAATGTGAGGTGTCTCAACAATCAGCACAGTATGCTGTGATCGAGAGAGATTCAGGAAGAGATGAAAAGGAAAGAAGGAATGCTGAGTTAGCATTAACAGATGTAACTGCATCCCAGTCGTCTTCTTTGGACTCTGCAGTCCACAGAGCGTTTACATATAAGGCTTGATGGGTCATCAATGTGCGTAAGTATGTATATATTGATATGAATTGGCAAAAAGGTTAAACGTGGAAAACAAAGACAGGAGAATAATGGCCGTTTCTCAGTATGCATTCTTGTGTTCTTGCCTGGTTTTACACTAATATAGTTATTAAATTATTTTATGTACATAGTAATTTTATTGATTTGTTTAATTTGGGTTGTTCCTTGTGTGTTTTTCTTTGTGATTTCAGTCTGTTAGTAAGTGGCTGTGTTTATGCCTTAGCTTGTAACTATTTTATATTTTATATGTTACTAAATGGCATCTTAGCACTGGTGAAATCAGGCCTTTGCACAATAGCAAGTACACAGCACTTCACTAACTCCCGTATGTGCATTCTCTGTCCTTGTGATCTTGCAAGGTAACTTGTCAAGAACGTTCTTCCCAAGGACACAAGCCCATTCACACCCAGTGTCCTTAACTTGAATGTTGAACATGAAGTTTGTTGAAGTTACCAAAACGGACATCTCTAAGATATGAGATGTTCAGTGAGGCTTAATTTAGTTTCATGACAAATCTCTTCTGTGACACTGTGAATTTGTACTCTCAGCTCTGAGTCTCTCCTCGTCCTGACAAAGCTTCACATTCAAATCTCCAGCCATCTCCTTCACTGTCTCTGTCTCCATTTGTCTTCTTCACTCTCGTCCTCTCCATTGGTCTCCTTCACTCTCTCTGTCTCCCGCCGACTCCACTCTCTCTCGCTCTCTCTCATCTCTTTCACACTTTCCCACTGTCTCCTTCCCTCTTTCTCACTCTCTGCTGTGACATTCTCTCTGTCTGGGTCTCTTGTCATCCCGTTCACTTTGTCTTGCTTTCCCATTGTCTCCTTCAATGGTTCTTTCTGTATATCGTTGGAGGGCGGAGCTCTGGCTGTCTGTATAGCATTGGAGGGGCAGAGCTCTGGCTGTCTGTATAGCATTGGAGGGCTGGAGCTGTGGCTCATTCTGTGTAGCACTGGAGGGGCAGAGCTCTGGCTGTCTGTATAGCATTGGAGGGGTGGGGCTGTGGCTCATTCTGTATAGCACTGGAGGGGCGGAGCTCTGGCTCTCTGTATAGCATTGGAGGGGTGGAGCTGTGGCTCATTCTGTGTAGCACTGGAGGAGCAGGGCTGTGGCTCATTCTGTATAGCACTGGAGGGGCAGAGCTCTGGCTGTCTGTACAGCATTGGAGGGGCAGAGCTCTGGCTGTCTGTACAGCATTGGAGGGGCAGAGCTCTGGCTGTCAGTATAGCATTGGAGGGGCAGAGCTGTGGCTCATTCTGTATAGCACTGGAGGGGTGGAGCTCTGGCTGTCTGTATAGCATTGGAGGGGTGGAGCTGTGGATCATTCTTTATAGCACTGGATGGGCAGAGCTCTGGCTGTCTGTATAGCATTGGATGGGCGGAGCTCTGGCTGTCTGTATAGCATTGGATGGGCGGAGCTCTGGCTGTCTGTATAGTATTGGAGGGGTGGAGCTGTGGCTCATTCTGTATAGCACTGGATGGGCAGAGCTCTGGCTGTCTGTATAGCATTGGAGGGCTGGAGGAGTGGCTCATTCTGTATAGCACTGGAGGGGCAGAGCTCTGGCTGTCTGTATAGCATTGGAGGGGTGGAGCTGTGGCTCATTCTTTATAGCACTGGACGGGCAGAGCTCTGGCTGTCTGTATAGCATTGGAGGGGTGGAGCTGTGGCTCATTCTATATAGCACTGGAGGGGCGGAGCTCTGGCTGTCTGTATAGCATTGGAGGGGTGGAGCTGTGGCTCATTCTTTATAGCACTGTACGGGCAGAGCTCTGGCTGTCTGTATAGCATTGGAGGGGTGGAGCTGTGGCTCATTCTTTATAGCACTGGACGGGCAGAGCTCTGGCTGTCTGTATAGCACTGGATGGGTAGAGCTCTGGCTCTCTGTATAGCATTGGGGGGTGGAGCTGTGGCTCATTCTGTATAGCACTGGAGGGGCAGAGCTCTGGCTGTCAGTATAGCATTGGAGGGGTGGAGCTGTGGCTCATTCTGTGTAGCACTGGAGGGGCAGAGCTTTGGCTGTCTGTATAGCACTGGAGGGGCAGAGCTCTGGCTGTCAGTATAGCATTGGAGGGGCGGAGCTCTGGCTCTCTGTACAGCACTGGAGGGGCAGAGCTCTGGCTGTCTGTAGCATTGGAGGGGCGGAGCTCTGGCTCTCTGTATAGCACTGGAGGGGCAGAGCTCTGGCTGTCTGTAGCATTGGAGGGGTGGAGCTGTGGCTCTCTGTATAGCACAGCTCTGGCTGTCTGTAGCATTGGAGGGGCGGAGCTCTGGCTCTCTCTGTAAAGCTCTGGAGGGGCGGAGCTCTGGCTCTCTGGTAAGCTCTGGAGGGGCGGAGCTCTGGCTCTTTTTGACTGTTCTCAGGATGTAGTTTAGGGTCTTTTCTTTAGGATGTATCTGTGCCGTGTTTTGTCATCAGCCTTAGCAGCCGGTCTGTGAGGGTGATGATCTGAGTATCTTTGTGTACCAGCTTTTCTATTAATCTCATTAAGTTCTCTTTTAGAGTCTTTTCTCTTAGAAGTGAATTTACATTTTCTTCAATTTGTCTGATTTTAGCCCGAGTTTCTCTGAGTCTCTTTTGTGAGCTGTGTTAATTCAGTTTTTAGTTGTTGAAGAATATTGTTTTCAGTGAGTTTGTTTACTTTCATTTCCATTAACTCTACCTCTAGTAGAGAGAGGCAGTCTTGAATGCGTTTGACTGTTGCAGGTGTTCTGGGTGGGACGAGGCTGGTATCAGGTGTGCGTGGTGGAACAGTGGGGGCTGTGTGTGGGGTTCAGGCAGACATCACAGCACAAGGTGCTGCTGTAGGGAGTTGAATGGGTTTATTCTTTTCCTTAAGTGTCCTCAGTCTTTTAAATTCCTGTTTGGATTTTTCAAGTTTTCTTTCTTGAATCATGATTGTTCCAGTTTTGTAAACGTTTATGTTGAGTGTTGCTGTGTTGTCAGTGTTCTGTTGTCTCAAAGTTTTATTACCACACATTTTAAAGTGCTTATTGTCAGCAAGAAGAGTAGAAATACAGACATCTGGGTGTTCTGTGTGAAACAGTAGGTCAGGTTTAGTTTCTCTCCTGTTTATTACAGTGAAATCTGCTTTCAGTGTCTCTGGGTTTTCTCTTAATATTTCTGCTGTGTGTTTCTCTTTTGCTCCCACTGTTGGCTTCTTCCGGGCAGGAGAAGCTCTGTCCACTGTGCTGCTTCAGCAGTGTATCCATCTGTAACTGACAGAGGTTCTTCCTGTCTCACAGAGGTGCTCCCTGTGCTGGGTGAGGTCTAACAATGCTGAAAATGTTTAAAAAGCTTCTTTAAAGGAATCACAAAGGAAGATTTTGTCCACATCTTTTCCTATTCCTCCTGTACTTCCACTTACTCTCCATCTCTCTCTCACCATCTCCTTCTCTCTCTCTCTCTCTCTCGCCACCTCCTTCACTCTCTCTCCCACTGTCTCCTTCACTCTCTTCCGCCGACTCCTTCACTCTCTCGCTCTCCTGCTGTCTCCTTCGCTCTCTGTCTTACTCTCCACTTGTCTGGAGAGCCTGTTATCATTGCCAATATGGGTCATTATTCAGTGTCATTACTTTTGTTTTCTGATCAGCCAGGTGATGCATCAGGTGACCCAATGACAGTGATGAGTGTACGGCTTCTTGATTTGATATATTGTCTCAACATCTTTATCAGACTTCAGAAATCCAGAGCAGACTTTCACGAGCCCAGCTGTGTCTCAAAGAAGAGCAACAGGTCCATGTTTAAGCCTCCTGATCTGAGTACTGGAGGAACTGGCACTGACCCATGTTCAGTGTATAGAACTAAAGCACTGGATTATATTTCGCTGTTTACTAAACCAGTTAAGAGAGATGTTCAGTGAAAAGTTTATCCTGATTTATGAATAATTTCACATTGACCTTCATTTTTTACTTTCTTTCTTTTAGCTGGAGGAGGGCTGGTCCAGGTGATGTCCTGCACAGGGTCATAGTGAGACACAAAAGCAGCATGAAGAACAGGCATGAGAGCTTATTTGAGGGAATCAAAACACAAGAGAATGAAACCCTCCTGAACAGGATTTACACACAGCTCTATATTGTGGAGGGAGACAGTAAAAGAGTGAATGAAGAACATGAGGTTTCACAGATCGAGAAAACTTACAGGAAACACAAAGATCAAAAATCACAAGACACTACAATCAACTACTTAGATATCTTTAAACCTGTAGAAGATCCTAAACGAGAAATGGAAGAACAGAACATCAGATATGTGATGGCTAACACTGAGAGAGAAGAAGAAAGAAAAGAAGATGAAGATCCAAAAAAGCTCAGAACTGTCCTGACTAAAGGCATCGCTGGCATTGGAAAAACTGTCACAGTGCAGAAGTTCATTCTGGACTGGGCTGAAGGAAAAAACAATCAGGATATCGATTTCATGTTTGTGCTTCAATTTCGGGAGCTGAATCTGATTAAAGATGACCAGTTCAGTCTTCATAGACTTCTGTGTGATTTCCATCCTGAGCTTAAAGATCTGGACCCAAAGATATATGATTCATACAAAGTTGTGTTAATCTTTGATGGTCTGGATGAAAGCAGAATTCCACTGAGCTTTTCACAGTGTGAGAAAATATCTGACATCACCATGACATCATCAGTGGGGATGCTGATGACAAACCTCATCAAAGGAGATCTGCTTCCCTCTGCTCGCATCTGGATAACCTCCCGACCAGCAGCAGCCAATCAGATCCCTCCTGAATACATTGACCGTGTGACAGAAATTCAGGGGTTCAATGACCCACAGAAGGAGGAGTACTTCAGGAAGAGAATCAGTGATGAAGACAAAGCCAAGAGAATCATCTCTCACATTAAGACAGTAAAGAGCCTCCACATCATGTGCCACATTCCAGTCTTCTGTTGGATCTCAGCCACTGTGCTTCAGCAAATGATAAACCAAAGTAATACAGAAATGCCCAAAACTCTGACTGAAATGTACATACACTTCCTGCTCACTCAGACCAATATGAAGAATGAGAAGTATGAGGGAAAAAATGAAAGTGATCCAGTAAAACTTCTGGAATTTAACAGAGAGATGATTCTGAAACTGGCTAAACTGGCTTTCAAACAGCTGATGAAGGGCAATGTGATGTTCTATGAAGAGGATCTCAGAGAGTGCGGCATTGATGTCACTGAGGCATCAGTGAACTCTGGGATATGCACTGAGATCTTTAAGGAGGAATCTGTGATTTATCAGAGGAAGGTCTACTGCTTTGTGCATCTGAGCTTTCAGGAGTTCCTGGCTGCTTTCCATTTGTTTTACTGCTATGTGAGCAAAAACATGGAGGAAGTGCAGTTTTTTTTGCAATATGATAGGGCTGGAAGTGACAGTGGCACTGAGGAAGACTGTCAGCCCGATTATGATGATGCTGGAAGTTACAGTGGCACTATGGAAGACTATCAGTTTGATTCTGATAATGCCAGTAGTGACAGTGACATCTATGAAGACTATGCGTGTTTTAGCAGTGACTTCCCTTATGCCCTGCGGCATCAGAACAGTTCATTGATAGAGCTATTGACAAGAGCAGTACATAAAGCCTTAAACAGTGATAATGGACACCTTGACCTTTTCCTCCGTTTCCTGCTGGGCATCTCACTGGAGTCCAATCAGAAACTCTTACAGGGTCTATTGATGCACACAGAGAGCAGCTCTGAGAGCATCAGCGAAACAGTGCAGCACATCAAACACCTAATACAAACACAGGATCTTCCTACTGAGAGATCTATCAACCTGTTCCTCTGCCTGACTGAAGTAAATGATCAGTCTCTCTCCAGAGAGATTCAGGAGTATCTAAAATCACAGAAACATGCAGAAACCGAACTCTCTGCTGCTCAGTGCTCAGCAATAGCTTACATGCTACAGACCTCAGACGAGGTTCTGGACGAGTTGGACCCAAAGAAGTTCAACACATCAGAGGAGGGTCACAGGAGACTGGTTCCAGCTGTGAGCAACTGCAGAAAGGCTCTGTAAGTGTTAATGAATGAATGTAAACGAATGTCTCTTCTATTAGTGTTTATATATTGGTGGCTGATAAAGAACAAATTACCGCATAGCGGGTTTTGGTTATATAGTAAATATATTTAGGAGTCTCAAAGAAGAGCAACAGGTCCATGTTTAAGCCTCCTGATCTGAGTACTGGAGGAACTGGCACTGACCCATGTTCAGTGTATAGAACTAAAGCACTGGATTATATTTCGCTGTTTACTAAACCAGTTAAGAGAGATGTTCAGTGAAAAGTTTATCCTGATTTATGAATAATTTCACATTGACCTTCATTTTTTACTTTCTTTCTTTTAGCTGGAGGAGGGCTGGTCCAGGTGATGTCCTGCACAGGGTCATAGTGAGACACAAAAGCAGCATGAAGAACAGGCATGAGAGCTTATTTGAGGGAATCAAAACACAAGAGAATGAAACCCTCCTGAACAGGATTTACACACAGCTCTATATTGTGGAGGGAGACAGTAAAAGAGTGAATGAAGAACATGAGGTTTCACAGATCGAGAAAACTTACAGGAAACACAAAGATCAAAAATCACAAGACACTACAATCAACTACTTAGATATCTTTAAACCTGTAGAAGATCCTAAACGAGAAATGGAAGAACAGAACATCAGATATGTGATGGCTAACACTGAGAGAGAAGAAGAAAGAAAAGAAGATGAAGATCCAAAAAAGCTCAGAACTGTCCTGACTAAAGGCATCGCTGGCATTGGAAAAACTGTCACAGTGCAGAAGTTCATTCTGGACTGGGCTGAAGGAAAAAACAATCAGGATATCGATTTCATGTTTGTGCTTCAATTTCGGGAGCTGAATCTGATTAAAGATGACCAGTTCAGTCTTCATAGACTTCTGTGTGATTTCCATCCTGAGCTTAAAGATCTGGACCCAAAGATATATGATTCATACAAAGTTGTGTTAATCTTTGATGGTCTGGATGAAAGCAGAATTCCACTGAGCTTTTCACAGTGTGAGAAAATATCTGACATCACCATGACATCATCAGTGGGGATGCTGATGACAAACCTCATCAAAGGAGATCTGCTTCCCTCTGCTCGCATCTGGATAACCTCCCGACCAGCAGCAGCCAATCAGATCCCTCCTGAATACATTGACCGTGTGACAGAAATTCAGGGGTTCAATGACCCACAGAAGGAGGAGTACTTCAGGAAGAGAATCAGTGATGAAGACAAAGCCAAGAGAATCATCTCTCACATTAAGACAGTAAAGAGCCTCCACATCATGTGCCACATTCCAGTCTTCTGTTGGATCTCAGCCACTGTGCTTCAGCAAATGATAAACCAAAGTAATACAGAAATGCCCAAAACTCTGACTGAAATGTACATACACTTCCTGCTCACTCAGACCAATATGAAGAATGAGAAGTATGAGGGAAAAAATGAAAGTGATCCAGTAAAACTTCTGGAATTTAACAGAGAGATGATTCTGAAACTGGCTAAACTGGCTTTCAAACAGCTGATGAAGGGCAATGTGATGTTCTATGAAGAGGATCTCAGAGAGTGCGGCATTGATGTCACTGAGGCATCAGTGAACTCTGGGATATGCACTGAGATCTTTAAGGAGGAATCTGTGATTTATCAGAGGAAGGTCTACTGCTTTGTGCATCTGAGCTTTCAGGAGTTCCTGGCTGCTTTCCATTTGTTTTACTGCTATGTGAGCAAAAACATGGAGGAAGTGCAGTTTTTTTTGCAATATGATAGGGCTGGAAGTGACAGTGGCACTGAGGAAGACTGTCAGCCCGATTATGATGATGCTGGAAGTTACAGTGGCACTATGGAAGACTATCAGTTTGATTCTGATAATGCCAGTAGTGACAGTGACATCTATGAAGACTATGCGTGTTTTAGCAGTGACTTCCCTTATGCCCTGCGGCATCAGAACAGTTCATTGATAGAGCTATTGACAAGAGCAGTACATAAAGCCTTAAACAGTGATAATGGACACCTTGACCTTTTCCTCCGTTTCCTGCTGGGCATCTCACTGGAGTCCAATCAGAAACTCTTACAGGGTCTATTGATGCACACAGAGAGCAGCTCTGAGAGCATCAGCGAAACAGTGCAGCACATCAAACACCTAATACAAACACAGGATCTTCCTACTGAGAGATCTATCAACCTGTTCCTCTGCCTGACTGAAGTAAATGATCAGTCTCTCTCCAGAGAGATTCAGGAGTATCTAAAATCACAGAAACATGCAGAAACCGAACTCTCTGCTGCTCAGTGCTCAGCAATAGCTTACATGCTACAGACCTCAGACGAGGTTCTGGACGAGTTGGACCCAAAGAAGTTCAACACATCAGAGGAGGGTCACAGGAGACTGGTTCCAGCTGTGAGCAACTGCAGAAAGGCTCTGTAAGTGTTAATGAATGAATGTAAACGAATGTCTCTTCTATTAGTGTTTATATATTGGTGGCTGATAAAGAACAAATTACCGCATAGCGGGTTTTGGTTATATAGTAAATATATTTAGGAGTCTTAAAGTAAAAACAACCATAAGGTGATTTTTTCAGTTGACCCTTAAGTGAAGAATAAGCCAATTGTAACATAATGAAACATCACTTTTCAAAAATGGGGAAATTTTTCAACTTCATTTGAATCACAAATGAAGTTGCAAACTTAAATCTAATAGACAAACTAAATAGAAAAAAATTGGTTGTGGTATTACCTACCAATATGGAAAAAATACATGTAAATATATTTTTATATGTAAAAATACATTCCAATCACTAACGTGTATTTCAGAATATATTGCCATATTAGCCAAATATATTGAAAAATACATTTATTTAAAATGTATGGGGAAATACTGCACATAGAAATAAAACATACAGAAGTAAATGTAGGTAAATGTGTTTATTCAGTGCGTTTGAAAATAGCCGCAGTACCTCTTTGGCAAATAAACCTTTAACATGGCAAAAGTGTTGTAGGTACTGATAGTCTGTGAAAATGCAGTTCAGTGATTTGATATTTTGTTTATTTGAAATATATTTTGTGTGTGCAGTAACTTACTATATACATACAACGATTAATACAAAATACAATGCAGAACACAGAAGTCAGTACCGTTCATTCAGGTGATGTGTATTTAATTATATTTGTTATCTTTGTTTAAAACTACATACAATTGCAAAAAAAATACAAACAAATGCACTTTAAAAATATATTTAACAAATTCATTTTTGGCCGTTTTTATTCATTGCAAAAATATATTTGATAAATATATTTGGAATATAATTTTTTTCCATAAGGCCACTCTTATGAAGCACCAAGAAATGCTAATAGAGCCCCCTTATGGAAAATGTTCAATATGCTAACTATTAGTCATAGTGGATAACAGACTATAACAGACTATAACTAATATTTTCCAAATATTTAAATTAATTGTATTTTCGGAATGTGTGAAAACAGGCAAAAATGTATTTATTACATATAATTTAAAATGCATTTTATATATTTTTCCAAATGTATTTATCAAATATATTTTTTGCAATGTATGGAAATGGCTAAAAATGTATTTGGTAAGTATATTTGTATTTATTTTTATTTATTATATTTTTTTCAATTGCGTATAGTTTTAACAAAAATTACAAATAATTGAACTGTATTTTCACAGCGTATCAATACCTACAGCACTTACTTTGCCATGTTAAAGGTTTGTTTGCTAATACTTTTATACATTGTGAAATGTATCTGATAAATACATTTATATACATTTGTTTTTGCATAGCACATTTCTGTGTATAATATTTCCACATACATTTTAAAATAATTGTATTTTAAAATACATTTTAGGGTTTGGAGTGTATTTTGGCATGGATTGCAATGCATTTGAAATGTATTCAATTCATAAATTTATTTAAACATATATAAATACATGTCCATTATTTTTCCCCATATGGGTACACTGAGCACGGGGACTTTACAAAATATTTGAATTGAGATTCAGACAAGAGACAAATTAAAGGAAACACTAACCGGTTAATGAGATAAAGAATAGTGTTCAGAAGTAATTTGTTGACACTTCTATCTTTTTTTAGATTATTAAATGTATACATTTATTGTGGAAATTGTGCTTTATCTTGCTGAAAAGCACATAATTCCAGCAATATTCTGACTTACCAATCAAAATCAATCAAGTCCAACTGAGCAATAGCAAGGTAGAAAACATTCACCTAATCCTCCATTTTACTTTAAAACGAATGTTGAGACACTAATCTAAATGCATACATGTTCAAACCATGAATGTGTTACGTATAGTATTATAAAGAATATGCAACAAAATACTGACTTAAGTAAAATACAGAATATTTGCTGTTGCACAAAAACCTTGTATCTCCTTGTATTTTCATTTTTTTAAATATTTTGACAAGTCCTATTGTCTTTGCCATGTATTAAAGTTTCATGGTGAATGGACAAATATATATGGTCCAAAATGGCAAGTTTTTGTTCGTTTGGCTTAAAAATGACAAGAAAAGAGACACTACTGTTTGCCCCACTAACATCTCTGTATCTTTTCTTAGCTTACTTAAGTGTTCAGTTAGTTACGGGGTTAATTTTGAGTTCCAGTTTGTAAGAGAAGTTGTAATTGCTGGTTGTTGTTGATTTTCTGATAGGTACAAAGGATTACATTAAAAATGAATTACATAAATTGTATTCAGAGAGTGTCTCCAGACTACTTTGGAGCACTTTATTGGAAGACCTAATGTACAGCCCAAAGTGAAAGCCTGGCTCAAAAAAGAAAAACAACAATGAAATAAAACTGCCAAATAAATGAAAATGGAACAGTTGTAAAAAAACAAAACAAAAAAAAAACAAAAACAAAGTTTTAAGCTTTTTCAAGTAAAAAACAAAAAGGCACGCCTGAGTGAAAGCAATTCTTAAATGGAATATTCACTTTTTTCTTTTGTCACTCTCCCTGCCTTCTCAGATGCCTTCAGTGCTATAGCCATTGTCAAAGTATTGCACCTCCTTATTCTTGGCATTAAAAATATTGTTTTTACTGGACAATCATGTTAGTAAATGGCTCCAGATTGTAAACCCTCATAGGTACCTTCCCTAATTTTGCAGCTCAACAGTGCCAGTCTTTACAATGCATATTAAGGTAGTCAGGTGCACTAAAACCTGCAGCTCACTGGGAACCTCATGTGTATACGTAAAAAAGCTCCTGCATGCACACTGATAAATCAGAAGGTGGGTGCTTTTTCCTACACAAAATACATTAGTGCTGTACTGAAGTAGTTTTTTTTTTTTAGCTGTGATGGAACAATCAAGAAAATGCTGCTTAAAATAATAATAGAAATCATTGAAAGTTTCTAGTGGTTCCTGGTGGTGTCCGTAATGGTATTTTGTGTTTTCCTGGTGAGTTAATATCAAAGTGTGAAGGATTATAATGGTTTAACATGTGTTCTGGGAACTGAATCAGTATGAATTTCATGGCTTTTTAATGGGAAAATTTTAATGTCACTTATAGTAACCACTAAGCCAGTTACCATCAGAAAGCAAAACCATCAGGTTTTGATCGTAATGGTTCTAATGGCAGCAAGACTGAAAGAAAGATTATTCTCTAAGTAAAACATTGGCATTATGTCACTGGTCTGACATTAATGCATAATTAGTGAACCCTTTGCAGAACACAGGAACAATTAGGAAAGCATCACTTTCCTTGTAACTTCCATTACATAATTCTTGTAAGACTTGATTTCACACCCTGTGTTCTAACTGTATTATATGTTTACTCTTCCTGTGCAGTCTAACAGGCTGTAATCTGGAAAAGAGCCACTGTGAAACTGTCTGCTCAGCTCTGACGTCTGCAAACTCCTCCCTGCAAGAGCTGGACCTTAGTAACAATAATCTGCAGGACTCAGTGGAGCTGCTCTCTGTTGGACTAAGGAGTTCAAACTGTAAACTCCAGATATTGAGGTTAATGTCTAATTTTTTGTGATTTTAAAATTCTACTATATCTCTTACTCTGACCATCAAATGAGATGTATAAAAGTTAATTTTATGTTGTTTAAACTCTCTTGAACTCTCTGTGTGATGTTTAAACTCCTCAAAAAATCTTCTTTCTCTACATCATAAGAATGTATTTCATGTATTTCATTCTTTCTCTTTTTTCAGACTATCTGGCTGCAGTCTTGGAGAAAAAGCTTGCGAAAATCTAAAATCAGTTTTACGAACAGAAAACTCCTCCCTAAAAGAACTGGATCTCAGTAATAATGATCTACAGGACTCAGGTGTAGAAAAGCTCTGTGCTGGACTGAAGAGCTCACACTGTAAACTTCAGATACTCAGGTCAGCTTTTATGAATCAACTTCTGAATGATAAATGTTATACATTGGAAAAGATTGGTCAGAAAGGTCATGAAAAAATGTATCTATGGTTAATAAGCTCAGTTTCACACTGAAAATAATGAGAGAAACAAACACTTATAAACCTTAACGAAAGTAGTTTAATGAGAGTGGAGAATACAGAGCAGGGAATCTGAGACCACTCCTCAACACAGAATGCATCTCACCTCCAAGATTGTGGGGCTTTTGTAGGGGGACTGGGATGGCTATCACTGACTTGTTAAAAGATCCAACCACAGCACAGTTTTAGTTTTTTGACAGAGGTAGACAGATTTTCATTAAAAATTTATAAACTATTCATATGTACATCTTTGTCCATAAGCCATGCATATGTAAATGTTTACACATAGAATGTGATTTATACATTTTTCATGTATGACAAAGAGCATATACTTTAAATTACTCCTGTTGATGCATACGCAGAAGGCCGTAGTGATTGATAGAAAAATGGCAGATCAAATGAAGAAGAAAAGATTTTTTATACTAGTATACATGAAATTCTAAATGTAAAAAATCTAATTCTAACATTTAAAATTCCATTTTTATTTGTAAGAATTGGGTTTTGGCATGGCCAAATTCAGTTCACACTATTAAGAGTTTATGACTACTCCCAATTCATTTTACTGGAAGGAACAATTTTAACTAATATGAATCCAGGTTTTTTTTTACAAGTATTAATTGAACTGCATAAATTTTGCAGGAATTTAAATGATTCAACAATTATTATCAAATCAATTTTTGCATCTTCAAAATGAATTTTTATAATTGTATTTTTAAATATTCAAATGTAACTTTACATGTTAGAAAATATACTTTTGTGTTGTTTGAACTCCTTTGAACTCTCCTTTTGTTTTTTAAACGCCTTTGCAAATTTCTCATTTCTCTGTTTAATAAGAACTGTTTCATTCAAAGCCGAAACACCCAGAGAATCCACAGACATTTTCATGCTGACCAGCTTGTAGATGTCGTCCAAGACATGTTCAATGTTTTCTTGAGCCAGGCAGTTGTCCTGGAGTGCTTCAAGGCAACAATCATCCTGCCTTTGATAAAAGAAATGGATCCACTCTTCACTTTGTTGGTTTATGGAACATGGTACTGGCACATCAGTTCTACTACCACCAGACTGTGTTACAGCTTCTTCCCCATAACAGTCAGACTACTGGATGCATTTATGCCCTCAACATTCAGGATGACTAATCTAAACTATTTACATCATCCACCATAGACTAATCACACATCCGTTGTGCACAGTGCACACCTGCACATAAAATTTTTCAAATTATTTTAATGCTGGCATTCTGAACTAACTGAAGCTTGTTAAGGTATTTTGCTGGAACATGCAGACAAACTTAGATGTAAGGGATCATGTTAAGCAGTCCTAATTTTAGACAAAGGTAACTGCAAGAATACTGTTTTTTGTGTTTGTAAAAATAATCTTTCTCTCTCTGTAGATTATCTGGCTGTATGATCACAGAGGTAGGCTGCTGTTCTCTGGCATCAGCTCTGAGTTCAAACCCCTCACACCTGAATGAATTGGATCTGACCTACAACCACCCAGGAAAGGATTCACCAGGAGTGAAGCAGCTTTCTTTTAGACTGGAGGATCCACAATGTGCCCTTAAAACTCTCAGGTATGAAAACTATGTTTAGAGATGTGTGTGGTGGGGGGCAGAATTATTGAACTACTGGTGGCCTCCACTACCAACAGACTATGCCACTCCCTAATTATGAAGGGCGGGAGAACCCTGTTTAGCAGTACTTTTTCCCAGCACAAGTTCACTTAAACGTACATAGATCACACAGCTGGTGGCTTAATACATTAAGTTTATTAAGAAAGGTGACATAAAAGAAATCACATGTACGCGTGTATGTATAAATATCTCCTTTAACAAATAAAAAATATATACTTTAAGATTTCTGCCTCCTATGCTGTTAAAATATATCAAAAGCTAAAAAAATACCAGTGGTGTCCTACGGATAGGTGCAACAGCACACTGCCCAGTATACAGAAAACCACAGCACTCAATACACCCCTAAATTAGAAAATACACCCTAAACATATATACACCTCACTTCAATTTTCAAGCTTCAGAATAAGTATGGTGCACACCCAAATCACACAAATAAAACTGAGCTACCTATCCACAATCACCACCGGTCAAATTAAAAGACCAAGGACGAAAGGTTCTAAGCCGTAATAAGGGGATACTTAGTACCCGTCAAAAAAATACAATTAAGATTACATTCAATTCCACATAAAAAAATAGATTCCAGCTATCAATCAGAACTTTCATTCAAGAAGGTACTGCACTGTGCCCCCTTGGCTAAAATGTAAACTCTAATGACCCCAGGATATTGCACATTCCTCCATTAACAATACAGTTGACTAAAAGCAATAGGACATATTGGAAACCAACCCTCCACTTGAAATAAAACAAAACCCAGAAAGGAAAATAAAACCCATAAAATAGATTTGTGTCCAAACTGGTACCAATGTAAGCAAGTTAAACCTTAAGTCATTATTGTATTAAGAAAACGCCAAAGCCATATAAAAGTAAATGTGAGAAAAACAGTGGCTACACCAATGACTGCACTCTTGTCTTCAGCCACTCTACAAAAAGAGACAAAAGGTAGTTTTCAATTTTTATGCACACATATATAAATGCTGCAGCAGCCTAGACCTCCAGTAAAGTTAAGCTGGAAACCCTATTAGCACCCATAGCCTTGTAGCCTTAGCCCCAGTGAGTCTTACAAGCACTGTGTGAAATAGGCTCACACACACACACACACACACACACACACACACACACACACACATTACCTGTTTGTAGGTTATTTCAGTAACTGTGACTGCTGACCCCCTTTGGAAGCTCTCCTTCAGTCACCAGCCTCCACAATTAGCTAAACATAATGAATATCCCACTGTAAGAAGCGCCAGCACTGCAGCATTTGGGACTAGAACAAATGCTAAGCCATTCCATTGTATAAAACACATTAAACCCCCCAGCGGCATTGCTTAGCTTTAACAATTGAACATAGTTACCTGTATCTCATCTTTCCGACTGTTTAAGCAGGAAAAACCACCAAGACTTCTTTCAGCTACAGAATCAGTGAACCAACCCTTTAAGCCTCTACACAGAGAAACTATCACAGTGAACACATCAATAAACCTGCTAAAATAATCACACATACCGTTTCCGGTGTGTACACACGGATAAAAGTCGGAAACTCCAGACTACAGTGGCGTTCTGAGCACGTTGTTTAACAATGCCGGACTACTATGGGTCTGGAGAGAGCTCAAGATATTCACGTTTGCTCCCGATCCTCAAAACTAGCCTTCCTGCTGGGTCGTAGTGTCCCTCCAGTTTCCTTTCCAGCTGGGACCTAGTGTCCTCCTGGCTACATACTGAAGAATGTATTCATGTGCTCCTGTATTTTTAACAAGGCTCCTTAGCTTACTGACAGTTTATGTAGCGTCTGTTGTGCAGTTATGGTATAAAACGTAAGATTATTTTTGTTGTATTGTGTGTGACTTTAGAATTGGACTTTAGTGTGGAATTATTATCATAATATTTGGCCAGGTGTTTATATGCCAATGCTAGAAAGAGTAAACAGAGGACATGAGCTGAGATCTACATGGGTGCTGTTGCAGAGCAGAACTACTTATAGTACATTTATATTGTGACTGTTGCAACTAGATGTTGACACTTGAAAGTAATGGCCCATACAGCTGACCAGGGGATTATACCACGACAGAAATTTGAGCTTGTAAGTGACATCCTGACATTCGGTACAACTTGCTCTATTGCCAGTGTTGTTTTATGAGATTGCATGCACCTGTTAGCTGGGGGGTCAACCGATAGTGATATTGATTATTAGGAAACCGATAACCAAAATAAGGAATTATTTTTGTAACTATTTATCTAATTATGTAAATTTTCAAGAATTCAGTCCCAACACAACAGGTAAATAATGGAACATAATGTTTTAAATTTTAATGTTTAAAATAGTAATGCTAACGCTTGATTATTTGAATTTGATTATTATAATTATTATTATTATTAAGTTCATAGAGCTTCCAGACAGCATAAACATTTGGAAACTAAATGTTAAACTAAATTTTAAATAGTGATTGAGCAAGAAGCAGCAGTTTTATACAGATCTAACAAAGGCATTGTCGTTTGTGAAGGCGTGACTTTAAATCCCAGACCATCTACAGCCCAGTTTCCAGAAAGTTGGGATGCTATGTGAAATTTAAACAAAACAGAATGCAAAGATGTGCAAATAATTTAGCCTCTATATTTAACATTTAATATTTAACGTATAAAATGTTGACACTGAGAAATTTTGTTTTTGAAAAATATATGCTCATTTTGAGTGTGACACCAGCAACACATTCAAAAAAAGGGGACAAGGACAACAAGAAACTGGTAAAGTTGTGTGTTGCTAAAAAAATCTTGTGGAACATCTCCCAACTAATTAGGTTAATTGGCAACTTGTCAGTAACGTTATTGAGTACAAAGAAGCTTTCTGAGACGTTCAGAAGTAAAACCAGGGAGGGCTTCACCACTTTGTAAAAGACTGCATGAGCAAATAGTGTAATAATTCAAGGATAACATTTCTAAATGTAGTATAGCAAAGAACTTAGGGATTTCATCATAATATATATACTTATATATTATTATATTATAATATATATGCTTATACTGGTTTTGGAGCAACATATGCTGCCATCCAAATGACGTCTTTTCCAGAGAAAGCTTTAATCTGGCTGTAGTGCAGGCCTTTATTATGAAATAAAAAATATGACAGTGGAGACCCCAAGATGTTGTGCACCTGTATCATGTATCAAGCAAGAATTAAAACATATTTCACTTTCAAAACTACAGCAATTGGTCTCCTTAGTTCCCAAACACGTACATAGTGTTGCTAATAGAAGAGGTGATGCAGCACAGTGGTAAACATGCCCCTGTCCCAACTTTTTTGTGTTGCGGACATCAAATTCAAAATGGGCATAATTTTTTTCAAAAAACTGTTTTCTTATTGTCAACATTTGACGTGTTGTCTTTGTACTATTTTAAATTAAATATGTGGTATAAATGATTTACACCTCACTGCATTTTGTTTTTATTTACATTTTTTCACAATGTCTCAACTTTTTTGGAAACTTGGTTGTAGTTGATTCAGCAGTGAATGTGGATTGGCTGTTGACACGGAGCTGTGACATGTGGACAATGGATAGACTTCCAAATGTTTGATGAGGCTGTTAGAATTACATTGCAGACTTTGTTGACCCACACTACTCAACATTTGGTTGGGGTCAGACCAAGAGTACTGCAAAACACACTGAAACAAAAGCATAAAGCAGTTAAGCAAATAATCGCCCATCATATGTCGATGTCTGTCCATAAGATGGGCTGATCTACTCACATTTGAAAGCGAGTGAGATGCCCTGGGTTAGGTGGTCCTGTTCTTAGGGATCTTTTAGTCCTGGCCTGTAACTAAAAAAGCTGTTTTCTCAACTTGTTTTTAACTTGCTCCTTTGACTAGGCCTGATTTTGAGCACCTATTGCTGTAGAATGTATGCCCTGAAGATGTATGATATGAAAGAATGGAGAATAGTAGGCCTATAGATCTTCTCATTACATTGACCATAGCATTTGTTTAGGCAAGCCACAAAGTCAAGCTCAGGCCCCAGTCTCCAATCACAAGCTGTTATCAGCTGATCTCAATCAGCTCATGGCTCAACCGATCACCTCATATGCAAGCTTTAGATTTAATTAATCAAGTCACTTATTTAAGCTGTTTTTTTCTGCCCATACTCACTTTCTGCTGCTCTTCCTGCCTTAGGCTTTGCATGTATGCACATAGAAGGGCAAGGAGGTCCCAGGACAGAGCCATATATAACTTACCACAAGTGGAAACAAAATATTTTCTTTAAAAAGTGGTCCTGACTGAAATTGAGCATAGACTTAGTTCAGGCAGGAAACAAAGTCAAGCTCAGGCCCCAAGTTCAACTCAACAGCTGTTATCAGCTGATCTCTATCAGCTGATGGCTCAGCTGATCGCCTGCTATAGATACAATTAGCTAAATTTATCAGGACTCTAACATAAGCTGTTTTACTCTGCCCATACTCGCTACTTCCTCTTCAAGCCACTTTGCAAGCCGCCTCCACCCCAACATTGCCTTCATGCCTGACTTATTCAGTGTCATGTTGTTGTTATTGCTGCCTGCCCTGTTCTGTACCCTAGGGGGGTCTTTTTACTGCTCTTAGAACAGAGCCACACCACCCAATATAACTTACTGCAAATGGAAACAAAGTATTTTCTTTGATGAAGTGGTCCTGACTGAACTACCATTTCTTTATTGTGAATTGTGAACTGGAAGTGCTTTGATATCTGTTTAAATCCTTCCCTCTCAGAAATTAGCTTTATTTTCCGATCATCAGACAGCTGCTTAAAGGATCCCATGGTTGTTGAGTTTTAGCTAAATAGTTTTATTTAAATAGTTCAAGAATGTGTTACACTCTGGAATTGTCATCAGAATCATCTTATGAATCATCTTTTTTCTGTCTTGTGTAACCCTCCTTTCATGCTTCTTGTAGTTTTGAACTAATACTTTTGCTTCTAT